CCATGTTGTTGTTATGTACCGTCGAGTCGAATCCAACCCACAGAGACCCTAGAGGGTTTCTGAGGAGCATCTGGTGAGCATGAACCACTGCCTTTATGGTTAAAACTGACTTTGCAGTTCAGCACATTTACCCGCAGTGCCACCCCAGGACTCCATTTTCACCCAGAGAACCCTTCAATACTGCCACCTGATGCTTGAAAATTTTCTTCAGTTCTTTCAGCTTGAAAAATGCTGAGTTTGTTCCTCCTTTTTGCTTTTCTAACTCAAGTCTTTGCATATTTCATTAAAATACTTCGTCTTCTCAAGCTACCCTTTGACATTTTCTGTTCAGCTCTTTTATTTCTTCATTATTCCAGTTGCTTTAACTTCTCTATGTTCAAGAGTAAATTTCAGAGTCTCTTCTGATACCCACTTTGGTTTTTTTGTTTCCTTCCTTCCTTTTTAATGACTTTTTGCTTTATTCACATATGATGACCTTAATGTCACCTCACAACACCCCTGTTGGTCAGTCATTAGTGTCTAATGTATCAAATCTGTTCATGAAATGGTCTCTAAATTCAGGTGGAATATACTCAACATCATATTTTTGTTCTCATGGGTTTGTTTTAATTGATTTAGCTTCAGCCTGAACTTGAGCATTTGATGGTATATTCCACAGGGTCTTGGACATATATTTTTGTAGATGATATTGAGCTTCATTTTCTCTTCCAACAGAGGCAGTCGATTTGACCCCTATATTTTCCATTTGGTGAGGTCCATGTGCATGGTTGCCATACATGTTATTGAAAAAAGTATTTACAATGAATCAGTCATTAGTCTTGCAAAATTCTGCCATGCAATCTCCAGCATCATTTCTAGCACCATATTTTCGAGCTAAAGATCCTTCCTCTTTGTTTCCAAATTGACGCTGTACGATGAGCACTGGACTGTGAAGCCGAAAGTCGACTGTTCAAATCCATCAGCTGCTCCTTGGAAACCCTAGACAGGGTCGCTATGAGTCTGAATTGACTTGATGGCACTTAGCAATGGCACAGATCCTTCTTTTGTTTCCAGATTTCACATTCCAATCACCAGTAATGATCAATGCATCTTGATTGCATATTTGATCAATTTCAGACTAAAATAGTTGGTAGAATTCTTCAATTTCATCACTAGTTTATAGTGGTTCGTGTGTAAATTTGAATGATTGTATTAATTAGTCATACCTGTAGGCATATGGATATTATCCTATCAACAGAAAGCATTGTACTTCAAGACTGATCTTGAACTATTCTTTTTGATGATGAATATGATGTCATTACTCTTCAATTTGTCATTGTTATCACAGTAAACTATATGACTGCCTGATTCAAAATGGCCAATACCTGTTCATTTTAGCTAACTAATATCTAGAAGTATTGGTGTGGTGCTGTGGGTTAATGCACTGTACTGCAAGGTCAGTTTGAACTGCAAGGTCAGTGGTTCAAGCTCACCAGGCACTTCTCAGAAATACAGGATAGCTATGGGTCAGATGCATTAAACACTAAAGACCGAAGACCAGAAGAGTTGTGGGATGACATAAAGAACATTATACATGAAAAGAGCAAAAAGTCATTAAGAAGACAAGAAAGAGGAAAAGGTCAAAATGGATGTCAGAGGAGACTCTGAAACTTGCTCTCCAGTGTAGAGAAGCTAAAGCAAATGGAAGAATTGAAGAGGTCCAAGAGCTGAACAGAAAATTTCAAAGATCAGCTC